CGGGTGACCCGTGGGTTGCCACCCGGGTGGCCATAATTTAACCCGGGTCACCCGCCCACCCGCGGGTGACCCGGGTGATGGTTACTCGGATCGGAACACTAGGTCTGACTGTACTGAAATATTATGAACAAGAAAGGAAATTAATATGGAATTATGAATAGTGCTATTAAATGTTTTTATCAATTTTATTAAATATTTGTTATAAAAAAAAGAAAGAAGGAAAAGAAACATAAAGAATTATACATGATGAAACTTATTATAATTATTATTATTATTATTTACTAAGACACCTTAATATTCGGTTTTTAAGTAAATGTAACTAATTAAAACAAGATTTTTTTTATGTATAATTACTATATTAAATTATCGAAATTTTACTTTTTCCTAAAGTTCTATATACATATCGTGCAATTTTTTACAAAGCTTTCAAAATACTATTTTGAGGAACTTTATTCTATTGCTTTTCATATATCTAATCATGAAATTTGATTAATTTGTAAGTGGAAAGAAAATAGGCATCAGGTTCATAGTAATTTTTATATAGCTATGTTTTTGTTATAATTTTTACTATGATCTGACACTTATATATGCCTTGACTGATATTATGTATATACATGATAAATTCTCTTATCATATATTTTCAAAAGTGCATCTTAATGATTTCGGATAAAAGGATTATCCTCCCATGTTTCAAAGAAAAAAATCATTTATTCTCTTTGTCATCAAAGCGAATTTGTTATTTTCTCAAAGACAACATGCATATTCTCTTCGTCATCAGAATTAATTATTTGATTCTCTTTGTCATCAGAGTGAATTATATTATTCTTTTTGTCATCAGAAAGAATTATTTCATCCACTGGATAATCAGAGAGAATTACTTTATCATCATTTATTACTGGTTGTTTTATAGGATTTTCCTCTTTAATAAATAATTCATCCATCTCTGTATCATCGATCTCGGACTCGGAAAGACTTTCCATTTTAATGCGGTAAGCTTCTTCATCCACACATAATAAGTCTTGAGGATCATAAGTGAGTTTATCAAGACCGGTAGGAGGACAAACAGAAATTTCCAAATGTAATTCACGTCCACGTTGAATTAATTCTTTTGTTGATGTAACCTTTCCCCAAAGATCCATAGTTGGTAAATCTTTAAAATCTGGTAAACGACCATTAGGTAAACCTTCCAATAAAATATCCTCTTTCATTAATGGAAGTTCAAAAACATCACGTCTTTTTCCTTCTCTAAGATGATTGTGAACACCTATCTCAGCATGATTAGTGGAAAAACTAATTGAATCCTTATAATTAGGATAGAGCATTACGTAACCACGAAGATAAGCAAGTTCTATAAAGAAACGTTTCCAAGAATTTTTCCAACGATTTGATCTACTCCCTGGTACAGTTATATTTTGTAACTTAAGACCATCAACATCATTTAATCTAGCATTTTGATAAATACGAAATTCACGCCATACTTCAGGGAAATATATGGCACCCCAACTACAAGGAACTTGACTAAGATATGGAGATTGGTTAGGATATATTGTACCTCTTAAAACGAGAGCAGGGTTAAAAGGTCTACGACCAGGTAAATGTAATTCACTAAGTTTTGTATCGTAAAGGCTAATACCAAACATTCTACCAGATAAATTTCGATCAGTACTATATCTATATTTTAAGATATTATATTTAGTCCATATGTAATAAAATGGAGAAAGTTCAACATCATCTTCTAAAATTACACCATAATCATGATCGTCACTAGGATAATAAGATTCTACCACAGAAGACAATAAACCACCTTGAATTACTCGATATCGAATGTTTTTTTGACCAAAAGTCCATTCAAATGCATGACTATATTTAATGGTAACCGGATCAGAACCTTTATCCATGTGTATAGTGAGATGCACTTCATCACCAAAATAAATGGATGAATTGAGAGATCTCATAAGGCGTGCTAGAGAGTGAGGTCGATTTTGAGTGATTACTTGTAACTGAATTGTTGGAGTGTTCCAGTCTGTAATATAAAATATAAGATATAATGAATCAGATATAAATGGTAAGAAATAAATGGTAAGAATAAATGATAAGAAATAAATGGTAAGAATAAATGATAAGAAATAAATGGTAAGAATAAATGATAAGAAATAAATGGTAAGAATAAATGATAAGAAATAAATGGTAAGAATAAATGATAAGAAATAAATGGTAAGAATAAATGATAAGAAATAAATGGTAAGAATAAATGATAAGAAATAAAGGATACGATCAAAAAAATGAACAAAAAAAATGAACAAAAAATGAACCAAGAAATCAAAGATAAAAAAAAAAAAAAAGAATTATAAAATGATACATACTTTTAAGCGACTCTATCGATAACTCAGGTATCCACATTAAGTGTTTCGTATGTTGAATTGGTATTGCAATCTTTGCAATACTTTTTGTTTCAAAAGAAGCAGCTAATGCGGCATCAATACCACGTACGGTTTCACTTTCAGGATCATTTATATAAATCAAAACGTCCGGACGAATTTGATCTAATGCACGATTTATTCCTTGAAATACCAATGATATGACATTTTCATTTGAAGAAATACCTTTACGAAGTTCTAGGTCATATACGGATACATCACAGTTTGGAAATAGGGAATTCAACCTTAATAGTTTTGTACCGCTCATTCCACGACCTTGGCCGGTAACAATTACATGAGTATAAACATTTTCATCTCTTTTAGTTAGTTTACAGTAAATGGGTTGTAAACTGGTTGCTTGTTGATCACCATCGATGACAACTATGATATTGCTAATACTACTATCAGTATGTACTTTGTGTTGATTGACTTTCCAAGAAGACGGAGAGGAATTTGAATTGATATGTCGTTGATTTAGATGAATAAATTGTATTGCAATAAAGAAGGCGAGTGACAAACATGCAGCAATATTTTTTATTATTCTTGGAAACATCCAACTTGAGTAAATTTGTTTCTGGTATAATGGACGATATAATGTTCTATCAGAGTATGCCATGGCTATGGTCATGTAGAATAAAAAGAAAGTGACCAAGTTGGTCGTAAAAGAATAAAATTATAAATAATAAAAAATAACGATAATAAAAAAAAAATAAATAAATAAAAATAAATATGTACGAATTATTTAATTATGAGCACAATTTATTTGTTACGTACACTCAATATGTAGAATTTAATTTAACACAACTATGCCTTATTGACCGTATTGTCATAGTATGCACGACTGGCTAATGTAAATCAACTGCCTGGGTCACCTATTCAAAGTACATCCGATACTTTGAGAATGTAACGTTTCATTGCTAAAAAGTTACCATAAAAGTCATTTCTAGAAAATTTATACGTACTTATCACACTATTATGTATGCCTAAACAGTTAATCGCAGTATTGTAAGTTTTTATATTGAACATTATGAAAAAACGCAACTGATCAGCAGATTGTTGAGTTTCCATTTTCAGATTACACTCGCCAAACCCCTAGTAGAAGCCTGCATTTACACTCGCAAAACAAACCCCTAGTAAAAGTCTGCATTTACACTCGCCCTCGCAAAACAAACCCCTAATAGAAGCCTGTATTGGGTCCCATAGCCCGGCCCGGGCTAAAGTATCTGCGGGCCGAGCCGGGCGACAAAAATAGGACCTCTACCCCCTAGTAGATCGCAAAAATTTTGCATCACACCGAGTACTATAGTCCGCGCTGTACGGTAATCATTAGTCATAGGTAATAATTAGTACGTAATATATGTATGTGTAAGTATTGAAACAAAAAAATAGGTGCCTAAGTTTTATCGAACTTAGTTCTATGCTCATCCTAAAAAAGCAGCAATTCTTGAGCCCGTAGATCAAGATCATTATGAGATTACGTAAAAATTTTTGGATTTACACATACATTATATATATATTTATTTATTTATTTACTGTAATCGAGCTGATTACGTAGAAATTGTTAAAAAATATCTATAAATAAATAGACGGACTAACAAAAGTAGTTAATAATTTTTGCATTGAAGTCTTCTAAAAATGAGAAAATTCTATAGCTTGAGCAAAATACAGTAGGAAATGAAGCTAGAAAAAAAAATATTAGCTTATCTGACACTTGAATAATAGTTTAATTATCGAAATGATGATGGATCCTACCTAAAACATTCGCTACTAGTGTTAGTGTCAGGGTTTGAGTGTAATTTTGTTTTTGAAAGTTGATTTGAATTTTTTTAGTTAGGTCGGTGACGTTAGGCTGATGACGCTAGGTTGATGACGCTAGGTTGATGACGCTAGGTTGATGACGCTAGGTTGATGACGCTAGGTTGATGACGCTAGGCTGGTTAAATAATGAATCGGCAGAAAGAATAGGAAAATATTGCTGGAAAAGAAAATACAATAAATAACTATACAGTATATACGTATGTATATTTACTAAAATCTCAAATTATCGTTATAAACTTCATAAATCACAAGACGTAACATTATACTGACAATAAGGGATTTGCTCTAAGCCTTACATTCGTAGCTATATCGATCTTAATTTCAAATCTAAGCACCTGATAAAGTCAGCAGGTGCCTGGATCCGTGACTATTCGAGTTTTTTTTTTTACCAAATCATTGGATTTTTACAGTATTTTTACAGAAACTATCCGTTAGATTTCTTAAATTTTTAGGGCTTTACCTCAGAATCCCAAAATCTAGACACTATCAAAACCCTGGGATTTAGTATTCTGAGGTAAACCCGCTATAATCGTTTAAGAAGAACCAGGAAGTACATATGCGCTAAAAACATTGTAATGTTATGAATTGGTTATGAATTAAAAAATCAAGTGATCAAATATCGATATATCGATATATATCGCGTACAGTCAGGCCTCTCTAAATGCATTGCGGCGGACCATATGCAAAAATTGTGTCAAATGTGCATTTAGAGATAAAAATCTATAAGTGTTATATTAGTTGGGCCCAAGAAAAGACGTGTATTTAAGGAGGCTTTTCATAGAGTGTGCATTTAGGGAGGTTGAATTTAGAGGGGTCTGACTGAAAAGCTTTAGTGAATTTTAGTGTTCGTAATCAAACCTAAATTTGTCGACTCAACTAACGCTAAGCCGAATATTAAAATTTTTGCTCAGCCTGTTACGCAAAGTTCGTTTGACCACTTGACCCACACCCTAAAAAAAAATTCAATCGTTTTTAATCCATGTAATGTTATACGACAATAATTGTATCGCGTGCGTATCTCGAAAAAAATTATACAATATATATTCTTTAGCATTGTCATATTATAGTATATATATTGCGTTCAACTACACAAGTCCCTCTTTTACTGCTTCATTAACTCGTTCTCGGCTTTTAATTTTGTAACGAATGTTTTGTGATATAAGAAGCGAATATAAATAATGTTCAACGGCTCGCCCAAATCGTTATTACCGATACGAAAAAAAGGGGAAGTCATTTTGTGTGAATCAATACAGTTTTGTATTGATATTTCTATATTATATTTCACAAGATCAGATAATAGCCGTTCTTATTATAGAGACGCTTTTGTTGTAGTTCAGTATTTAATGGATGATACTGAAATTTTGACATGAAAATTTTAAATTTTTTTGGGGTGCTTTTTTTTTATAGTTCGATTAGAATTTAGGGTTAGTGTTTATAATAAAAGGGCATAGGTGGGTTTTAGTAGGGTTTATATTTCAAATTAAAGACCCCAAATTTCAGCATCACCCCCGACATTTAATGTCGTTATTTAACAACTGTATGGGTCTCTATATAACTATGTTTTACGATATATATTTCGTTATCTTCTTTTTAAAAGCAAAAGATTAACCATTACATCATTTTCGTTTCACATTCGTATTTAACTTATACAAACTTTAATATACTTTCAATTTACGTATTCCTAAAATCATGATCACGATCGCGATCACCCATATGATCATATAGTATTACATATGTCAAAAACGATGTAATAGGGGCGGGTAATAAAAATGGGTTAAGTGGGTTAAAACAATGTTTTTGCGTCTGTAGTATGTAACAAAAACAAAAAAATTTCCCGAATTTTTCCACTAAACTATTTGCGATTACATGATTTTCCAGCCTATATAAAA